AGCAGACCTAACTTTGTGACAGTGCTGAGCCTTGGCCTCAAGAAGCTTGGCAACTTCTGCTCCAACTTTGGAATCCTTCCTTTCTGATGGAAACAAGCTTGTGCTAGCCTACTGGCGGGTGAGATTATGGCCCATTCATCTTAGTTAAAGTCATTCTAGACCAGCCACTAGCCAGTTGACCCCAAAACATATGACAGTGTTTTTCCAAGATCAGCAGGGTCACTTACCTGACCACAATTGGCCATTGGTACATGAGGGAACCCATCTGAGATCAGAAGAATTGCTCAACTTATCCATAGACTTAGGTGCAATGATACAGTTGTTTGAAGTCATTGTGTCTGTGGTGATTTGTTACTCAGCAATAGCAAACTGATACACTGGTTATAGAGCCTAGTCAGTGATTTGTGTGGGTGAATCCCTACATCTCCCTGCCTTCAGCTGGAAGATGGCTCTAGAACACTGTAAGAGAAAATGTAATTCTGATTCTAGTAGCTCAAGACAAAAAGAACAACAAGGCTGCACCTGCACATGGGTGGCTCCAGACCTCATCCTTCCTGCAATAACACAGAAGGGCTCCTCAGAGTAACAGGAGTCTGTCAGGTAGAGGAAAGGAAGGTGGCTGTTCCTGGCAGAGGACATAGCAAAGGTACAAGACATACAGGGTGGTGTGAAGTTAAGAGAGAATTCATGAAAATTGTTAGAACCTTGCCTAGCACAAAACAATAACTTTACAAATGGCACTAGTACTGCTGGGCAGAAGAAGCAGAGGCAAGGCTGCCAGGTTGTGAAGGACTAATGAACTTGTCTTTATCTGCAAAGCAATGGGGAGCCACATCTGGTTGTAGTCAGGAAGTGGATCAGGCTATCCAGAGCTTGAAAGGTTGGTTTGAGAGGGCGTGAGTGTATCCAGGGAGGCCTGGGAGGAGTTGGTGGCATTCTTCTAGGTGAGAGACAATGGTGGCCAGTTAGTGAGGAAGATGGGTGGACTGTGCAATGCCCTGGGAAGAAGTGCCAGGTCTTGGTGGCCTGTTGAATACATTCAGTAAGGTGGGAAAAAGTTGTCAATGGCAATCTGTGTCAGACTTGGATACCCTGTGTGACCCACTGTCATTTCTTCCTTTTTTAAGCTTCTGTTAGAGGTTACAGATGGATCATGACCCTAGGCTGATGTGAGACAACCAGACTGTAGCCTGTTTTTCACTTCCTCAGGTTGAGGTCTTGAAAAAGGCACTTCCTTCCCTGAGGCTGGTCCTCATTTATAAGTAGGAATAGAGCCTTCCTAGGGTCTCAGGAAACACATCACAAACTTGTTTTGAAGATTGCAAGGTATAGCTCTATCTTGGGTAGAGAAACAGGTCAACTCAGGATTCTCCTGACCTGGGTCTTGCTAAGCAGTTTCCTTGATTGAAGAGGTGTGGGTAAGAGAATGGGAGATTTGGGGGTTCCACTGGCTGACTGCCAGGGCACCCCCTACAGAGTGGTTGAGAGCACAGGCCTGTCGCTCTGTGGAGCCTTGAGTTAGTTCAAAACTTAAGTCCAGAAGGACACGAGTGCATTTGCACACACACCTGAGAACACATACAGGGTGGTGCAAAAGTAGGTTTTCAGTTGTTCATATGAAAAAATAATATAATGATTAATAAATAATAATCAAGAATAAACTCTGTACTTTGTGTACTCATAACTATAAACCTACTTTTGCCCTCTCTCCTTGTGGCAGTCTGAACAAGTAGGAATTTCATCCCTCCCACATGATTATGTTGCCTCAGTGATGCACACTGTTGGCCTTTCTGAGAGGCACAAGTCCTGTTTTTGTCTTCCCTCTCCTGGGATTGCTATGTAGCCTTGCATAAAGCCCTGTCCCTCTCTGGGCCTCAGTTTCTCCATCACTAAAACAAGAGATTTGGTCCAAGTCAGAGGCTGCACACTGGTGGCACAAAGGCAAGTTCAGCTTGCAGTCTTGTTTTGCTCCATATCAAAAAAGTAGACTTGCCACAACAGATGTTTCAATTGGTTGAAACATCATTCTGTACACCAAAAAGTTGTGGTTTCAATTCCTGGTGAGGACACATACATAGATTGCAGGTTTGATCCTTGGTTGGAATGCATACTGGAGACAACAGATCGATGTTTCTGTCTTGCATCAAAGTTTCTCTGTCTCTCTCTCTCCCTTCCCACCCCCACTCTAAAAACCAATAAAAACATATCCTCAGGTGAGGATTAAAGAAAAGTCAGAAGGTCTGGCTATGAGAAGGCCCACATCTTCATGCAGCTCCAATGGGCTTGCATGGAGCAGCTCACTTCACCCAATTGTTATCCACCTGGACCCTGAAATTTCCACACTATAGTCCTGGACTTTCTGCTGTTTTTTGTTTCAGTCTATTAAGATTTTTGTCTTTTTAATGGCAGTTTTATTGAAAAACCACTTTAGGAATAAAACAAACAAAGGGGTAAATCTCTGCCTAACACAGCACAAAATATGTATTTTTATAAGCTATGTTTTAAAAATATTATCATTATGGAGAAAACAGTAATAATGGCAACAATAACAATAATAATAATACTTAGCATCCATCCATTGCTTTGAAACTCAAAGTGCCACACAATCATTATTGGCAGGACCCTCACAACAGCCCTGTGAGGTAGGTATTTTTATTCCACTTTTACGATGGAGAAACTAAGGCTCAGAGCACAACTTAGCTGGGCACCTTCGGCTGGAGGGCAGGTCCCTACATTTGAAACTAACAGTGTACTAAGGAGCCAAGTGATAGGCTGGCAGCTGACCTGGCCATTATTCTCACAAACCCAGCTGCCCCCTGCCAAGCCCACTCCTCATCTGAATAGTAAAATAAGACATGGGGCTTCTGAAACCATGTTTATGTGATTACATTAAACTGGCCTCTGGGAGGTGATTAGAATCTCTCTTACTCTCAGATGCCATGAGGCCAGTTGGGAGCAGAGGGGCTGAAGGCTTCGGAAGCCTCATGGTGGACACTGCAGGCTTCTGAGGCAAAGATAAACTGTGACATGGAGACTTCAAGAAACTTCTGCGTTTTCTTCTCCCTCACCCATTGACCACCCTGCCCCCTGAACTTGCCCACTCACCCATTCATTCACTCATCCACCCATGCACTCATTCCTTCATGCCTACCCATCCTGATACCCAAGTAAAGAAGAAAAAAATGGTCCAAGGGAAGAAATCAACCAACTGTCCAGCCATTTTATTTGTCTATGCTGTGATTCAGGCCCAGTGCTGACACTGGAGTGTCCAATACAGCCTAGATATGGAGAGGCTCCTAGTGCATGGGGCCATGGGACTGTGATCTTAGGAGTACCTGTGGGCATGAAGTTCAGAAATGCCTTCTCTTGGTGGCTCAACACAATCACCAAAGGTCCCTATAGTTTGATTCAACACCATCTGCCCTGCCCTGCAAGCAGAGATACACAGGCACACACCCATGTGCATACACCACTCCAAATCTTTCAGGCACAAACATGGAGAGAAACAGATAATTGGGTACACACAGAAGCACACAAGAGATACCTGAAAGCATAAAGTCACATAACTACCCCAAGACTCCCTAAAACTGCACATGCATGCACACACACACACACACACGAATGCAGAACACCCACAGCCTTCTTAAGGAAAGCTTCCAAAGTAGAGAAGCACTGGAAGAAGGGGGACGACCCAGGGCAGAGAGGTTTCGTCCATACCTTTCTCTGACAGTCTGCCCTGGGGTTGTGACATCCAGGAAACCCAGCTGCTCATGGGAGCTCTCACACCAGCTTTTTTGCCTTATAACTGAGGACTATGACTTACTTCTACCCACCCAGGGCACTCAGCAATTCAGGGGCACTCTGGTGAGGAGTAGGTTCCCTGAGCTGGCTTCTGCCGAGTGGCCATGACCAAGTCCCTGTGATCGTCCCAATGCACAGATCTGCCCACCAAATGGCTAGTCATGAGGTCACCGCTCAGTGACCTTGCCCTTAAAGCCTGAGCTTAATAGGCTGAGACTGAAGATCTAATTCCTTTCCCAGGTAATACCAATGACACAACAGCCCAGGCATCCATGGCCACTTTTGCCCATTTGATCACAGAACTTGAAAACCAGGTTGTGTGAGGGTCCTCGTGCAAGCTGACTCCACACCCGGGCCTTGTCTTTCCTTACCACAAAGCAAGTCCTGGAATTAAGAAGCCCAGGCCACAGAATGATGCAGCCAGATGCAAAATAAATAAAATATTCATATAAAAATAGTCTCTTACAAAACATTCTCTCCTAACCAGTGGCTCACTTTCCAAAAGATGAAAATTGCTTTTATTATCTTTCCCTTTTCTATGTATTCCAAATCGAATTTTTTCTAATGTTGAAGTGTGAGCCGGGTAGGACTAAAGAATGGGAAACGTAGTGTGAAAAACATCTCCAAACTTGGACCAGCTTTTATATATATGACATCTGCTCTGTACTTAAACATCTAATGCAATGGATACTTGCAGAGTCAGCTAGTAGAAATATCTGAATAAAGAATAATTATGTACAGTTCTAGTTGGCTCCTTGTTCCAGTGACAAAATTTTCCTGCAAAGAAAGCAGCCAGTCCACTTTGCAGAAAACGGATCTCAATGAGGTGGACTGATTCTTTTTAATTAAATAAATTAATATTATTTTAAAAATCAAAATTGTTAAATATTGCTTGATGAGGCCCAAGGATCCAGGGTTCCTGCTGTCGTAGGCTCTGCTGCAGTGAGGAGGCCCAGGCAGTGTCTGGGGTGGGGTGGAGCAGGCTGGGTATGTACTAGAATCCTTAGGGCTCTGGAGAGCCCTTTCCCCAAAGTGTCTGCAGGAAACTGCACAGGAGCCTCTACAGCAGGAAAGATGAGCTCAGGATTCCTGCTGTTCCCTATGGAGATCTGGGAAGAGACCTGCAGGTGAGTGCAGCTGGACTCTGGTCCTCCCCATAGTGGACCTGACTTGAGGGCGCACGCAGTGCTGTCTTAGGCTCACTTGCACGTGTACACCTCGGTGTGCTCACTGCAGGTGTTGCACTTGACATAGCAGCACCAGTGGAATTTGCAGTTACACTGCCACACTCGTGCATACTGGTGGGTGTTGTAGCCACGGCCGCAGCACATGAGGTCACAGCCACTGGTCTGGCGGGCTGTTTTGTTGCAGATGCGACCTTGCGTGCCCACGCTGCCTGTCACTGGGTCCTCCTCACAGTAGTTGGGTGACTTCTCAATATACACCAGGTCTGTGTCCATGGGTTTGCGGTATGATAGTGGCTTCTTGATCTTCAGGAAGGTGGGCCGCTTGTTGCGGCTGGCACGCACAGGCTCCACATGTACGGCCTCGTTGTACTTATCCTTGAGCACATAGCCGAGCTCTCGGAACTGTGGCAGCGTAGTCCAGCAGGTCTTGGTGGTACAGGAACCTGACACACCATGGCACTTACACTCCAGCTTCATGTTCTCCTCCAGGATCTGCAGGAGTGGGAGGGGGAGAGCACAATGAAGGTCATTGTTTGCAGGATGCAGCCCAGCCTGGCCCACCCCCTACCCCACTAGCTGGGTTTGTTTTGTTTGTTTGTTTGTTTCTCCTTTTGGTGCAGGAAACTCAGGCCTGGATTCAAATTCCTCTCATCTCCAGCCCTCGTGCTGTGCCTTCCACCTGGAATAAACTTGCCTTCCTTGCTTCCCAACTGTGCAATCTGTAGATGCACTTAGATCAGTTCAGACCAGTCCAGAGCACACATAGGTTCTCTTTGGCCTGCCCAGGTTTAAAATGGTGTCTGAACCAACATTTATAAACCAGAAGTATTTAAAAGGCAGACTCCCATGTGCATTTGTTTTTGGCAAACAAAAAGTGCATCTGGCAACTCTGGGGTGATAGTCAAATTATTTAATAAGTGGTGTTATCTTCCTGGCACAGAATCTGGCAAGAAATGCCAGCTGTAGTTCCGTTGTGTCCTGACTCACCACAACCTCTGCCAGCCTTGTCATATGGCAATAGTACTTGGAGCTATGCCAGCAGCTGTCTTCCTCATGAGTTGGTATCCTTCAATTTGCCATAGTTCTCACTACTCCCCATTACTTACCTGACCTTAAGTTATTGTTTTTAAGAGGTTAACTGCTTTGATCACCTATGACACCTGCCAGGCACTTTGCACATATAAGTCTAGAAACCAATTGCTCTGATTGTAGCTTCTTGGCATCAATCCCTGGCTCCCAGGCTGGATGCTGTCGCCTTTCTTATGAATTCCCAAGGCCCTTTGGGCTTCCACCATCATCCATGAGAGGCAGTACTGTATGGGGTGGGAGTTGGGGAGGAGCACAGATTCTGGACCCTGGGACTTAAGTCCCAGAACTAACATGAACCTGCTGTGTGTCCTTGAGAAACTTTCTTTAAATCTCTGTGCTGCAGTTTCCCCATTTGTAGATGGGGATAATAATAAATAGTAATTAATTATAATTATGCAGTGAAATACTAGATAATAGTGAAAAAGAATGAACTATTAATGCAATAAGAACAGATCTCCTAGATGTAATGTTGTGTGAAAAAGTTGGGCACTAAAAAGAACATAATATGGGATTCTATTGCTGTGAAGTTCAAGGACAGGAAAACTAATGGCTAGTTTTCATTTCATCTTTATTTAACTATATAGGCAGTGGGTCAGAGGTGGCCCATGGACCATATTTTGCTGACCCCAGCTTTAGAAGATCTTAGCAGTAAGAGAAGACCAAATACCCTGTGCTATAGCACAGGGTATTTAGGTTGTTTTTGGTTATTATTTTTACTTTTTCTTTCCTTCCCTCCCTCCCTTCTTTCTTTCTTTCCTTCATTGTTTATTTTTAACTATATGTTAACTAATGTGGAAGCAAGTATATTTAGAACTGAAGCTTCTCTTTCTTCCTCATTATCTTTGGCCTGATGTCATCCTAATAGACATGTATTAAGCTGCTACTGTATAGCAGGCAGTGGGATGGGGATGTATTCGTGAACATAGTTTCTGGGTCATAGTTTGTAAGCATTTTCATGGTTCTTCATCCAGATTATCAAAATACTTTTGCTTGTTACATAGTGAAAGAATAAATGAATGAGTAAATTAACATTTATTAATCACCCATTACACATGCTTCTGTATATAGCATCTTATTTCACTTCATCATGTTAGTATGATTCCATCTGCAGGGATAAACAGGCTCAGCTGACTCCTAGAGCAGGCATACTGGTGTGTGAGGCATTCAGATGCAGGGTCTTATTGCTGAGGGGTGTGAATGCTTTTCCCTCTCCCAATCATCGCTGCTTACTTACTATGTGCTTTTGGGGTTGTCACACCCCATCTCTGAGGCTCAGTTGCCTTCACTGAAACATGGAGCAAAGCCAATTTTATTTTTTCTAACAAAAGTCAGAGTGCTAGAACAAAATCAGACATTCAAAAAGTAGTTATTAATTTTGCCTCTGGGCCTGGGCCTATGCAGGTGCTGAGGACACAGAGGTTTGTCACCTGGAATGGTCCACCCAGCTCTAATTGTTCTGCTTCCAGGAGGAGGTAACTAATGCTTGGTCAATATACTCAATAGGAAGGGAGGATTACCTGTGTTTTGACCACAGTACAAGTCAGCGATGTTGCAAGCATCCAGAATGTTCAGGGATAGAGATCCAGGCTGACTGAGTCTTTGGTATCAGGACACCTAGTATGACAGAGCACATACTATGTGCCAGCACCCTTACACAACCTTCAGACACTTAGAGCTGCTACAGATGAGTAGCCACCTAAATAACACAGATGTCCCTCTGTGTCATCAGTGAGAAGAGAGTTCCCACAGGCCAGCTCACCTTGGCCTGAAAAGTGGGAAATAGCAAGGCTCAGAGGTGTGATGCATGTGGATGCAGGGTCAGGCAGGTGTTCCTGAGACATGACTGCCAAGATGATTGAGATTTTAGTGCAGTCAGAGACTTGAACAAAAAAATGCTGGAAGATGTTCAGAATGAATTATGATATTACTGAGTGTGGGTGAAGCTCACACAAATTGCTGGTGGGAGTGCAAACACAGCAGCCTGAGAAAGCTGAAGAGTGCAAGCAGCAGAGCCTGGGGAAATCTGCTCATGTGGACAGGAAGAGGCTCCAGGATGCTCAGAGCAGCAGTGTTTATGATAATTCCAAATGGGGCACCATCTGGATGTCCATCCGTCATAGTAGGAAGAATGAACTGAGGCATGTGTACTCAACAGGACACAGTAGGGCAATGACAGTGAACAACTACAACCAACCACACAAACAGAGGCCAACCTCAGAAACACAGTGGGGATGGAAAGAATCAATTGAAAGATTTCCACAGAATTGTTTTATCTTTATCAGTTTAAAAGTTGGCAAAACTGCCCGGTTGTTATGGCTCAGTGGTTGAACATCAATCTATGAACCAGGAGGTCACAGTTTGATTCCTAGTCAGGGCACATGCCCGGGTTGCTGGCTTGGTCTCCGGTTGGGGGCATGCAGGAGGCAGCAGATTAATGATTTTTCTCTCGTTACTGATATATATATATATATATATATATATATATATATATATATATATATATCCTTTCCTCTTTGAAATCAATATTGTATTTTTCAGAGCTCACAGAGAGAGGACGCATGGAAAGTAAAGAGATGAGGGACACAAATACCAAGAGTGCTTGTCTCTGGAGTTGGAGGCAAGGGGCTATGGTTGATAAGGGTCACCCAGATATAATCTGGGGTTCTGGTAATGTTCTGTTCCTAGATATGGGTGCTTTATCATTATTCTTTTAAATAAACATAGATGATCTCTGTGCTTTTTTTTTTTTGCGGGTAAACTATATCTTGCAATTTATTAAAAAAATGATTGGGCACAGTGGTCAATAAGCATGTAGAAAGATGCTCAGCATCACTAATCATCAAGGAAATGCAAATCAAAATCACAATGTCCATCAACTAATGAGTACAATGTGGTCTATCCATAAATGGAATGTTATTTAGCCACAAAAAGAATGAAGTACTGACACATGCTACTATATGGATGGACCTTGAAAACACTAAGTTAAGTGTTAGAAGCCAGTCAGAAAAGGTCACATGTTATATGATTGCATTTGTATGGTATGTCCAGAATAGGCAGGTCTATAAAGTCAGATGGTGGATTAGTGGACGAAGAGCAGTTTGGCAAAATGCAGAGTAATTGCTAAGGGATACAGGTTTCCTTGTGAGGTCATGAAAATATTCTGAAATTGACTATTGTGATGGTTGCACAGACCTGAGAATAACTTTTTAACTGCATTCCTTAAATGAGTGCACTGTATATTATGTAAATTATAATGCAATAAAGTTGTGTGGGTTTTTAAAAAAAAGTTGCTGGAAGCATGGGCTGTATTTGCCTATGTGTGACACCAAATGTTTTCGTTGAAGTGGACCCTGAGCATTGAGGCCCAGTGCCAGAGGCCAGGTTCCTGGGTCCTTGGGCTGGGTGCAGTTGCCCCCCAACACCATCTGCACCAGCTCCCTTGCACAGCCCCCTGCACACTACCTCTCTCTTCCTCTGTGGCTGCCTCAGGCTGTGATGGTATTTGTGTGGCCCCTAATCAGATGACACCAGCTCATTAACCCTGCAAACTCTGCATTTTGAGAGCCTCCGTGATTGCATTATGTCCAAATAGAGCTGGGCATAACAACAGCTTTCCTGGCCAGGACTGGTCAGCCAGTTGGAAATTATAAACAGGCAGCAAGCCCTCTTCCTAAGGCAGGGGACAACAGCAGAGGAAGTGTGTCTAGGACAAATATCATGCTTTGCGCACTCTTTTCCCACTCTGAGTCCAGTCTGGCTACCAGCTTCTGAGCTGTCCAGGGGGACTTCTGGGTATTCCTTTGTGCTTGAATACTTTGGATTGTGGGTCAGCTGTCAGGCAGTTGAAGGATCTGCACACACCCACCTTCCCAGTTCCTGGCACATAGTGGGTTCTCTTAGGAAATTCCCAAAGGTTAATTCACTAACAGGGGGCATTCCAGTTCTTCCACAACTGCATTCCCAGCCCAACAACCATGAGAGCACCAAACCTACATTTCTGAATGGGGGAAGTAGGGAGGACCCAGAGGAGGAGCCATTGTAGAGGAGAGGGGGCTTGGAACCGTTGGTATGAATCATTGTCAATATTTTATGTCCTTGGCTACACTGCTAGGTCCCAACTTAAAGACCAGTAACATGAGAGTGTTTAGGGTCTACCATGTCACCACCCTGTGGTGTAGAGATGCCTCAGTGAAAAAGGAAAAGAAATGAGAAAAGAATGAGGCCCGGATGTCTGGCTCAGCAAGCACTGAGCACACATAGTTCTCCGCCTCTCAGCTATGTGGTGGTTTAGGGTCAGATGACATGATGAGGGGCTATGCTCCAGTCCCACTTCCAGTTCCAGCCACAGGCCCCACTCATTTTCACATGTCACTAGTGCAGGTCTGGGGACTGATCTTCACAGA